ATCCTGGCTAATAGCCATTGATGGACCTGTCCTCCATGAACTTATCTGGTTCTTTTTCGAACCCTGTTATTGTCTCAGCCTTCACCACATTCTCAGGCAATGAGTTCCACAAGTTGACTGTGCGTTGGATGAAAAAATACTTCCTTTTATTTGTTTTAAACCTGCTGCCTATTCATTTCATTTGATGACCCCTGGTTCTTGTGTTATGAGAAGGAATAAATAACACTTCATTTGCTTTCTCCACACCAGTCATGATTTTATAGACCTCTATCATATCCCCCCTTGGTCGTCTTTTTTCCAAGCTGAGAAGTCCCAGTCTTATTAATCTCTCCCCATACGGCAGCCGTTCCATACCCCTAATCATTTTTGTTGCCCTTTTCTGAACCTTCTCCAATTCCAATGTATTTTTTTGAGATGGGGCAACCACACCTGCGTGCAATATCCAATAATAGGTGTGTGCGTACCATGTATTTATATAGAGGCAATATGATATTTTCTGTCTTATTATCCAGCATTTCTTAATGATTCCCAACCTTCTGTTTGCTTTTTTGACTGCCGCTGCACATTGAGCAGATGTTTTTAGACAACTCTCCAAAATGACTCCAAGATCTCTCTCTTGAGTGGTAACAGCTAATTTAGACCCCATCGTGTAGACAAGGCTTAACTCTCTGTTTAGAGAAACCCTGAGCCCTATTGGGCCTGAAGCACCTATGTCAGTTTTGAAAGCATGACATCAGTTCCTAAGTCGCTTACACACTTTTGAAAATGTTGCCAGAGAGCTAATCTAATCCATGTGCACTAAGCCATGTGGATCATTGTCAGGGTATGTGGGGGAGCGAGACCCAAATGGTATTTAAAACAGGAGCTGGGCACCATGAATAGTCGTGTGGCTAAACTGTTAAACGAATACTCAGGAGATATGGATTCAGTTTCCAGATCTGCAGTAGGCCCCGTTGTGTGATCTTGGATAAGACCCTTTGCCTCCCTGTCCCTCTTTCATCCATCTGTGAAATGAAGATACATTAGACGCCCCTGGTTTACTAACTGATCGGGGATTGAGGAGTTCATAGTATTGAAACGATCATAAAATTGAACATCTCAAAATGACAGTAGGTCTGGTGTATAAATTGCCGTATGGTGGTTTCTTCGTGTCTTTCAAGTCGTTGCAAAACAATTTCCAACGAAGTGATGGCATCAGAATGTGAAAAGACATTGCTCTATTTTTCATCAATATTACTTTTGTCAGGTGTTGGGTTTTTTTACCCCATCGGGGAAAGTGGTTTGTAAAATTGGTTGTTGGAAGATTGATGTTTGTAAAATTGAGAATTTATTCTAATAATAACAGCAGCTGTGTGAATCACTGATGGTTTTGTGATTCACTGGCAGTCCCAATTTTATTAAAAAATGTAGGTTTGGGTCAACCTGAAAAAGAAACGTTACGAAGTTTTTGGTGGATCAAAAAATAAAATCAATTTTCATTTCAGGCAGAACTCAGCATGTTTAGTTTCAATTCAAAGTATCTGTGAATGTATTTTTAGTTATTTTTAATCAAATTAAAGGAAATTCCAAACCAAAATGTCATTCCAAATTGAAAATTTGTTTCACTTTGGGGAAATTGTCAAAAATTTTTTTTTTTACTTTTTCAGGGTGTTTTGGTTTCGTTCTCTCCCCTCCCCCCGCCCCCCCGACACCAGCAATTTGCTGACACCAACACAAGTTCCTGAAATCTGTTGTTTCATTTCACCCAAAAAAGTTTCAGCTGGAAGATTTCCTCCAGCTGTAATAACCCTTGTCCATTTACACTGTAAGTTGCATGGGAAAGAGGCTATCTATTGCTAGAGCACCTAGCACCCTCCGGGCAGTGATTTTGGTACGAGCCTCATAAGAACATAAGAGCAGCCAGACTGGGTCAGACCAAAGGTCCATCTAGCCCAGTATCCTGTCTATCTCTTTCTTAATGATTCCCAACATTCTGTTAACTTTTTTGACTGCTGCTGCACATTGAGTGGATGTTTTCAGAGAACTATCCACAATGACTCCAAGATCATAGAATCATAGAATATCAGGGTTGGAAGGGACCTCAGGAGGTCATCTAGTCCAACCCCCTGCTCAAAGCAGGACCCATCCCCACCTAAATCATCTGAGCCAGGGCTTTGTCAAGCCTGACCTTAAAAACCTCTAAGAAAGAAGATTCCACCACCTCCCTAGGTAACCCATTCCAGTGCTTCACCACCCTCCTAGTGAAAAAGTTTTTCCTAATATCCAACCTAAACCTCCCCCACTGCAACTTGAGACCATTACTCCTTGTTCTTTCTTGGGTGGTAACAGCTAATTTAGACCCCATCATTTTATATGTATAGTTGGGATTATGTTTTCCAATGTGCATTGCTTTGCATTTATCAACACTGAATTTCATCTGCCATTTTGTTGCCCAGTCACCCAGTTTTGAGAGATCCTTTTGTAGCTCTTCGCAGTCTGCTTGGGACTTAACTATCTTAGTAGTTTTGTTTCAGGTGCTAGTGCAATATAAACAACTGTACTCAGTACATTTCAGTATTGTGCACAGCATTGTGTAGGCTCTTGCGGAAAACTGTCCAGTTGCACATAATGCCCGGCTTTGCTGACTTTGCATGGCATGATGTCTCTCCTGTTGTCAGCCCTCAATGTAGTAACCATTCCTCCTGTCTCTTGGCAGATAAGCCCTGGACTGTGGTACCATGGAAGGAGACAATGACTCTGTGGTGACTGAATTCATCCTGGTAGGAATTTCTGGGGGCCCTCATGTGAAGTTCACCCTCTTTGGCTTCCTTTTTGCAATCTACCTACTGACCCTGGTCGGAAACACACTCCTGATCCTGCTCACCAGAGTGGACCTCCGACTCCACACCCCCATGTACTTTTTCCTCAGTAACTTGTCCTTCTTAGATATCTGCTATATCACCATCAACGTCCCTCAGTTGATGGTCCACTGCCTCTCCAAGAGACCCTCCATCTCCCTGGGCAGGTGCTTGGCTCAGATGTACATCTCACGCTTCTTGGGGATAACCGAGTGCCTTCTGCTGGCTGTGATGGCTTATGACCGCTGGGTGGCCATCTGCAAGCCGCTGCGCTA